AGGATAAAGAATATTTTTGTTCATCTACAGAATAAGTTATAGAGACGGACAGAGATAATTCAGAATTGGGAGTGGAAAAACATTTGCGTATGAACGCAAAATTCTGAGATATGCCGACATAGCAGCTGAGGCATTATAAAGACAGAAGTGGGGAGTTCAGGTCCAGAAAGTACAAATCCAGACCAAGGCTTTGTTTCAACCAACCACAGTGAAAAAAGTTACTTTGAATGAACTTAGTTTAATTATATATAGTGGTTGTACAAGTTTATGCATTGACTTTGTGTTCTGAGAACAGAATATAGTTGAATTAATCTGACTATTTTTTTTCATGTCTAATTAATCCAAATGAATCACTCCCATTCAATGAAATTAGGTATATGATGTAACAGTAGCCATGGTAAAGGGTAACTGAAAGACAACACAAACCACTGTGAAGGACTGTTTTTGCAAAGGCGTCTGCTCTGTGGAACTGGATTAAACGAAGCCCAAAACCATCTGCTTTTCTGAGGGAAAAATTTGGGATCGGCTTTGTATCCTCAAATGACACACAATGGAACTCTATGTTTCTTGTTATCCAGCAATTGTCACTCATTGTCCCTTAGATTGTGGATGCTGGACCAACCAGTCACTGGACCCACCTCCTCTACAGTCTGATTGGTTATCTCTCTGAACCAATCACTTTTCATTCTGGCCACAAAACATTTTTGTGTAAGCAAAACTCCTACAAGCTTAGTGTGGTGCCAGATTCTTCTCATGGGTCACATATGTGAAAGTGTCAAAATTTTAAAAGTATGTTGAAATGAAAACAACCCCAAATATCTTCCTGAGACCCACGGAAAAAAGTGTCCTTCAATTTGTCTTTGGGGGAAATAAGACATCTTACAATTTAGATTTTTTCAAATTTATTTTTATTTTTAATTTCACAGCCTCTCCTCTTTAGTGTACAACAGGAATAAATACGTTTCCTTACATCAGTGAAAAAATAGATGCAAAAACAAATAGTCCACTACAATGGACATAAATTAATGGGTGGGGTCTCAGGAGGTTTATATAAATTTCCCCTTTAAATACGAGGGGAAAACACACAGATGTCAGGTTGCCAGATTGTATAAATCTTCCTGTACTTGTTCCAGACAGGCTGGTGGTGACGGGTGCAGATGAGCCTGTCTATGCACATTCTGGAGAGGATGTGACTCTCAGCTGCTTTGTGGACACCCATGTTACTGTGAGAGAGCTTCAAGTGGAATGGAAAAAGACAAACGATGACGGTGACATCATGGTGCTTCTGTATGCTGATGGAGAGAACAAACCAGAATCTCAGGATGGGAGATACTCTGGAAGAGCTGAGTTCTACACTGAGGAAATTCCCAAAAGAAACTTCTCAATGAAACTGAGGAAAGTCAGGACTGAAGACAAAGGAGAGTTCAGGTGTGAAGTCCACTCAGATACTGATTCTGCCAGTACAACTGCCAGGATAGCAGCACTGGGTGAGTCACTGGAAGGACTGGTTTTAACATGCATCTCAGCATAGTTCTGTGTGAATAAATCACATTTTCATTCCGCTAAGCCTCAGTTGTACTGCTGCAGACTGATCTTTATGCAAATGCCATAGAGTGTAATCTGCTCAGTGTAACAGTAGAAATTGTCAAATTTAGTTCAATTTTAAAGTGACAAAATGCATTAAATGAATGAATTAAATTTGTTTCAGGCTTCAGCCTTAGTGCAGTTTTCAACTCTGTCATAACATTTTTTAGAGTGATGCAGTGTAATGTGTAATTATGGTTTTATTATTTATATTAATTTAGGAACTCAGGGGTAGAAATGCGGTTGCTTATCTATGCCTTACAGTTGTAAATCAGAGATTCTCGCTTTTTTTCTGCCTCCCTTTGTCTGAAAGAGACTATGCAATGTATGTGAAAACTTGTGTACTGAACCCTTTTTTAATAGCCCGATTTGCTACATTTTATAATTTGGCAATGTATAATCAACACTGTTCTTTTACTGAAGTAAAGAAAATTACCCCAGGCCATCCTTAATTAGGACACACTGTATGCAATGGGGTACAGCTTCAGTAAAATATCCCTGAACTTGTCACAGCTGTGAGATATGCCACGTATAGCCATGTATTCTGTACATTGATGGCAATAATAA